TAAGTTGGCTTGCGTCACCCCTTCTGATTCCTTATTCCCCTATGCCAATTTCTTCAGGTATTAGCAATTAGCCAGGATACAAAGCATTGTTTGGTTAATTCATATGTAATATTTTATTAAATTTAACACTATATGTATATCAAAGTACAAGAGATCATATCTTCTTCACCAGTAAACCTTGTGAGACTTCTTGTTCATTTCCAATTAAGTTGGCAGGGAAGATAAGAACTCTGAGCTGTGGAATTTGATGAGATTCTGAGGTTGGTAGCCTGAGATTAAAATATACAGGCTTAGGTCCACTATGGCCTAAAGGAATAATCTTTCTGAATATAATGTCATGAATATAACATGGATCCCTCTGACAGCCATAGTTACTGCGTCTGTCTAAGAGAATGACAAGATAGTAAGACAGAACAAATATTCTGAAAGCTGTGAAACAAACAACCAAGTGATGATTAAAAGTGTTGAATTTTAGGGTATTAAGAATATTACAAAAATATCAATATAGTCTTGTTTATCCAAAAAACCAAAAGAAGATTACATAATAATTTTGTTGTATATTCAAAAGGAATAGCAATTTGTGCATAGTTTGTTTGCAGTTTCATGTGTAATCATCTTTTTAAAAAATTTTACTGTGTTATGGAAATGTATGTTTTATTTCATAAATTAAAAATAAAATTTAATAATAAAAAATAATATTATGAAACTATCAATAAAGTCTCCAAATCCTAGGGTCACAGAATATGCAACCTCTCAGATAGGCAACATAGTATACTGGGGAAAAGATTGGATTTGTTTGAAAAGATCTGGATTCAAATTTTAGTTCTGCTGCTTCCTACCTGTGAGACCTTGGACAAATCACTTGACATTTCTCTGTGTGTCTGAGCTTCTTCATTTTAGGAGAGGAGTTTGTACAAGATAGCTTTTGAGGTCCATTCCTGATCTAAATTTGTGTTCAGAGGTAGGTAGATCATATAGTAGGTAGAGCACTGGACCTGGAGTCAGAAAGACCTGAATTCAAATGCAGCCTTAGACACTTCTTAGCTGTGTTACCCTGGGCAAGTCACTTAACCTCAGTTTGCTTCTACATCCTCATCTGTAAAATGGGGATAACGATAATATGTACCTCCCAGGGTTGCTATAAGGATCAAATGAGACAAATAAAAATGTTTGGCATAGTGCCTGGCACAAGCATTATACAGTGCTAAATAAATTATTATTGCTCTTCTTCTTCTTATTATTATTATTACTCTTATTGTTATTATGCTAGCCATAGACTCAGAAAGGGATCTAGATTCAAGTCCTATGACCTCTGGCATGGACTAAGTGTGTAACTGAATCACTTAATCTCTCAGAGCTCCAGGTAAAACTTTAAGAGTGTGAGTTGGAAAGAAAAAGTGGATTTGAAGTAAAAGGAATTCCTTACAGAGAGTTCCCTATAACAAAGAAATCACAGGTCTAGCCCAAAACATATGTGTAGTTGTTGTAGTTGTTGTTCAGTAGGATCCAACTCTTTGTGACCCTATTTGGGGTTTTCTTGGCAAAAATCCTGGACTGGTTGGCCATGTCCTTCTCGATGAGGAAAGTGGGGTAAAGGGGGTTAAGCGACTCGTCCAAGGTCACACAACTAGTAAATATCTGAGACCATATTTAAACTCAGCTCTTCCTGCCTTCAGGCCTGGCACTCTATCTACTGTACCACCTAGTTGTCCTAAAACATACGTGCATTTTGTCAACCCTGTTCACAAATGATCAAAGAGTCACAGAGGTTACATAACCTCTGTTAACTTTAAAAATACCAAAGAGCTTGCACAGGTTATCACGACCACAGTTAACTCTGTAATAACAAAATAAAACCAAATAGTTAATAGTGGTCATAAGCAAAAAGCTTTCTTTATTCCATTGGAGGAAAGAAACTGCACACATGTGTCGAGGCCCCCTCTAGTTCGGCACCCCCTTTAGTGTGGGCAAATCTCAATACAAATACCAATGACTGTGTAGTGAGCTGTAGTCCTGACAATGAGGGGTAACAGTAACAATGAGACAAGTCTGACTCATAGCAGGGCTTCAGGACCAGAACTGGGGTACCACGGGCGCTTGCCTGAGCTCAGAGAACACCTGGTGCTGGTGGGAAAAAATTCTGAGATTTTGCTGGGTCTGAGTTCACCCAGAGGGTGAGCTCAAAGCATCATTATGTCCAGCTCAGGGCACAGCTTGATTGCTGGGATTTAGCTCTGGAAAAACAGAGTATCTTCAAATAGTACCCAGACAATGCATATGTACATACAGCATATCTACATAGAAGGACATATGGTGTTTGTGAGTATACATACATATACGTAACCTGCGTAGGTGGATAGAAAATATTTTTTGCATTCAGTTTATTTTTTTTTTATTAAAGTATGTTATGTTGAATTGGCAAGAAGTTTTTCTTTCTGTCAGATTGTTTCTAGTAATAAGCAATGATGAAAAATGTCTGCGTGGGCTTTGGCAGGACAAATGTACCTTCTTTTGTGAAGGAGCCTCAGAATGCCTCTGGGCAGCATATGTATCTGTAGGTCCTCCCAAAAGGTCCATTTCTTTTGCTTCTTAGCACCAGGTCAGACCTATAGTGAACAGATGCTCCAAAGGGAAGGAGATCAAGAAATGTGGATGGCAAAACAACAGCATCAGGCAAGGATAACGACTGTGTTTATGAATTGGAAGAAAAGTAAGGAGTTTGTTTGGTTCTTCTTGAACCACTTTCTCTTTTGCTCCATATTATTCCAGAGCTTTTATTTTAGAGCTCACGTAGCTAATGTAGCTAATTAATTTTCACAATGCCGATGAAGAAAAAGAATCACATTTGTCTGGATTATGTTTGTGTCTAAAGGTTTATAAAGTGATCTCACAATACACCTGTGAGACAGTAAGTATGGGTATTATCATCCCCAAATTCATACTAATAAACTGAGCCTTAGAGAGATTAAGACACCTAGCCATGGCCATTTAGGTAGCAAATCATTAAATTATTTATGGAATTATTAAATAGGGGCAGGCATGCCTGGGTCTTTGGGGTACTCTCCAGGAAAGACCATAATGGCCCCAGGGAATAATACTTCAATCATACTTTAATAAGACACAGGGGCAAATGGCACAGAGAGTGCAGAGACAAAAAGCAACAGAGACAAACAGTGTGGGAACAGGGATGATGATGTAGAGGAAGGCAGGAAACTTGGGGAAGAGTATGGGAAAGGAGAGCGACACGTACCTAACAATGGATAAGGGTTGGGAGCACTCAAGCAGCATGAATCCTCAGGGGGAGCAGAAGTTTGAAGTCTCATTTTTTTTAAAGGTTTTAGTGAGGAACAGATTAGCTCTTATCCATGCCACGTTAGGGTTAATTCATTAACATATTCACATCATCTCAAACTTATCACCAAAATTTGGTGTTCTACTGGTCTTACCGTAGATGTCTAGAGTTCATTAGAGGTTTACAGATCATAAGACCAAAAGACCTTGACAACAAAGGCTAGATGGCCTTTTCTGATTTAGCAAATAGTTTCAATATGTTATTTTAAGTTAATATGTGATATAGTTTGCAAATCATCTTCCTTTGATCTATGGGACAGTCTTTAAGTGATTTCTATGTTCCCCTTTACAATTTTACGGTAACTGTTACTTTATACTGCTTATGTATAACCTTACTATATTAGCTAGGAGGAGGGCCAGGGTACCAAAACAAGATAAAATTTTAATACAGCTAGTAAATAAATCAAGTAGCCCTTGAAAAGAAGCAAAAATTTATTGATGCCACTTTCTCAATATACAACATATAAATGGAGGGCCACCAAGTCTAATACTACACCAGTGATGATAATACAGTTTTCCTTCAACAGTATTTGCTTATAGACTTCTGTTTTTGTTGTTTGGTTTTTAAACTCTGGCTTGAAATTGCTATTCATCATAGTAGGGCAAACTATTTCTAAAAAAAGAGTACTTAAATGTCATTATATTCATCTGGCTTCTCCATTAGGATATTTTAGTCCAGAGCCAGACGGATCAATATATTTCTTGAGAACAAGACAGTCTAATGGATAGAGGGCCATACCTATAGTCAGAATAACAACAATAAATAACATTTATGTAGTGCTTACTATGTGCCAGGCACTATGCTAAATGTGTTGCAATTATTATCTCATTGGATCCTCACAGCAACCCTGGGAGGTAAGTGCTATTATTTTTACAGATGAGCAAACAGAGGTGAACAGAAATAAAGTGACTTGGCCAAGGTCACACATCTGTAAGTGTCTGAGGCCTGATTTGAACTCAAATCTTCCTTATTCCCAACCTGGTATTAAATCCTACCTCCTTAACTGAGTATTCATTTACAAATTACTTAACCTACCTCAGTTTCAGCTTTCTCATCTATAAAATAGAGATAATACTTGTATTTGCCTCTTAGGATTATTATGAGTCATAATATATGTAAAGAGCTTTGCCAACTTAGAAGTCCTATATTATCTTCAATTGTCATTATCCTTTTCTTTCTTGAAATTTTATAGCCTGGGGAATTGAGTGAAATAGTCATAAGTAATGATTTTATCTCTCTGCCATTAGACTTAGAATGGTTTTACCAACTGAGAACATATAATAATTAATTATTTTTTGGAACAAACTTGAAGTTTCATTGATATAGGAAACTCTTGTTGGGGAAGTTTCTTCTACTTCTATACATCAGAACCTATTCCCCAACTTATCATCTTAGAGAGGTACTGCCTTTTCTAGGGATGCACAATCAGTATGAAGTCAGAAGTAGGATAGGTCAGTTCTATCTACTATGTAAAACTGACTTTCACCATCGGAATCACCCCTTCTCTATCCCCTTGTCCAATTTCAGTAAAGCTTAAAAAGGATTTTCTCTGATAGATATTTATATTTTTTTTCTTTTCATTAAAGGAATGCATACCAACTACCATGGTGTTACTAAATGCATTTTATTTTGCTTATGTCTGTCATAGATAACACAGCCAGCATTCTGACAAGGCGGAGGAGATTTAGTCGAACTATTCAGGATGTGTATTATCTCCCCATTATGATCTCTGATGGTGGAATCCCCTCTCTCAGCAGCAGCAGCACCCTCACCATAAGGGTATGTGCATGTGAGAGAGATGGGCGTGTGCGAACCTGCCATGCTGAAGCCTTCCTGTCCTCTGCTGGCTTAAGTACAGGAGCCTTAATTGCAATTCTTCTCTGTGTCCTCATTCTTTTGGGTAAGCCATTGGAACTTAATGCCATTGTGTTTTTTTTTTCCTTGCTCTATTTAAAATGTACTGGAAATGACTGATATGTGGCAAAAGTGAGGCTCCTCAGATGTGACACAAGTCCAAAACCCTTGGTATCAGGCCACTAAAACAGGTAACAAAAATGGCTGCAAGATCGAAACCATGAAAGGCTACTATGCTCTGGAATACCTGATCTTCATATGCCACTGGGTAACTGGTAATACAAAATCATCACAAGCAACTTGGAAATTGTTTTGATTCATTTACATGAAAGGGTTTGAAAGAGGAAAAAGCCAATGGAAAGTTTTTGGGGGACAAAAGAAATGGCACAATACAGGTAGAACTATGTTACTTTTAATTTTTTATATAGACCTTATCTAATAATCTCTCTCAGAGGAAATGATATCCATTTAAAGAAAGTCTGAAACTTAAGAAAAAGGGGAAGGGAAGTGACTTTGCAGAGAAATTCCTAAATCAGCAATTCAGTGGCCCAAACCCTTTGGTAAATAGACTAATATCTTAAGATTGCAAAATTATAAAATGCTATATATAAAACAGTCTTTGGGTTGGAAGATGAATTGTACTTCATATTTAAATAGAGCTTGGTGTCAATGACATTTACATCTTTATCCCTCCCCTTTATAAAATGGATCAATGCAGTTCAGAGAGCTTCTAAGGAAGATAGAGGAAAATAGTCAAAATTATATTTTATGGGAAATGATTGACTGAAATTGAGATAGTAGTTCTTGCTCTCTTTTATTGGTGATCTAATAAAAAAAATCTAACTGGTATCAGTGATTGAGTACACTATTAGCACAAATTTTCCTAAAAATGTTATTTTCCTTAAGTGCTAATTTTTAACTGTTTTTACCTGTCTACACTTCTTCAAGCTCTCTACCTTTCGTTGCTGTAGTTGTACTAATTATTTTCACCCCAGAGCAAAGAGTTCCGTTTTTTAACCCTCTCCTGATGAGAATATTTATAGCTGGAAGGTGGCCAGCCTCAGGATGCACTAGTATTGACATATTTTAGGGTAAAAGGGTTGCTGGCAGGTGGGTGCTAATAAATGTTTAACAACAGTCTCTCTAGGAAAAAAAAATATGACATACTTTTAAGTAGAATTTGCTTTATTAACATTTTCACCATCAGCTTTTAAGTACAGACAACTAAAAAAAATAAATCAAGCCCAGATTTATGGAATTTGTTGATTTGTGGGGTGTAAATGTTCAAACCAAAAATTTAATAATTGGCTTTTGGGAATCTGTTGGAGCAGGCTCTAGCACACTCCTGGTACTGGCATTTTTTTTTCCTTACAAAGTATATAATGTCTCAGATACTTATTAATTGTAATCCTGGGCAAATCACTTAGCTCTACTCTGCCTCAGCTTCTTCATCTGTATAATGAAGACCATAATAGTATCTACTTCCAGGGTTCTTGTGAGCATAAAATGAGAGAATTATAAAATGCTTTGCAAACCTTAAAGTACCATATAAATGCTAGTTACAATGATAATGATTATACTTGTGATTATTATCATATACTTTGTAAGTATTTATTCTTTCTGTTCTTATGGGGTTACTTATGTGTATACAAGAGGAGCTATGAGTTCTCTCCCATACTTATCTGGTAGGTTCACACGAAGAAGGCAAGAATCTGGGAGAGACATGACTTCACCTCATGTCATGAAAGTATAAGATTCCTGATCCAAACAGTAACATACTCAGCATCATGTTGGCCATTTCATTGACATTTAACAGGATTGGGAGGCAGAATGATTCATAGTAAAGAACGCTGGAGTAGAAGTTGGAGACTCTGAGTTCAAATCCTGCCTGTTACTACCTATGTGAACTTGGACAGACAAGTCATTTAAGTCTTCATGTTCCTCATTTATAAAATGAAAGATTTCCTGGGTATTGTCCAGCTCTGATGTTATGATTCTATCCTTCTGTGTCCTCTGAACACCCTTACTTTCACTTTCTTTTCAACACTTTCATAAGAATTGAAACAAAGTCCATGCTGGGACTTGTTGAGGGAGGCAACAAGACTCTATCCCATGAGGAAAAAAAAAGGAAAGAAACAATTATTAAAGACTTTATACGTCAGGCAACGTGGTAAGCACTGGAGATTTTTTGGTCAACTTCCTTTTGACCCGTCCTTCTATTACTCTACTCCCACCTCCTCCCTTAACGATTTGCCCTCAGATCTTCACAGACTGTACAATCGCACCTGAATTTGAGAAGACAGTCATTTATTCTTGGTTTTTTTTGTTTTGCTTTTGTTTTTCCTATGTCATAGTCAGGAAAATAACAGAACCTTAAAAGTACATTTCAATTATTTTCATATATATTTGGAGATTGTGACCTATTTTGACTCATTATGTGAAAATGCTAAATTTACTCTTTTGGAAAATAAAATATAAATAAAATATTTCCCAATTTTATATTCTTATCTTCTAAAAATCATGATGGAGAAACCATTTTCCATTTTATTTCTTTTTCTTTTCTTTTTTTGGTGAAATAATATATATTTTTTTAAGTTTGAAATTTTAAAAATCAATTTTTGAGAGGAAGAAAAGTAGACATAAGGTCCAAGGTATTTACAATTTGTGCATATAAATATTTCTTACATATGTACCTTACTCCTACTGTGGTCTAAGTTTAAGACTACTCCTTCCATGGATGCTTTGTGTATTTGTGGGAAGGAGTGAAGCAGGTTCTTAGCAGGAAGTTTTGTATTAACTGTTTACCATGGTATTTGAGAGTAGGAGATGTTCTATGGGTACCCAAACTATCAATTTGGACAGAAGTTGGGAAATATTTTTCTTCCTCTCCTTCTCCTCTTTCTCCTCCTCCTCCTCCTTCTTCTTCTTCCACTTCTTCCTCTTTTCCTTTTTGTTCAAAAAAGCAATTCAATTTACTTTTGTCCTTTAAAGTTTTCATTTTGATTTCTTGAAATATAGCTCTGAAAAACAGGCTTTAAAAAAGTCCTTTGTGTTTTAAATGCAGCTTCTTTACTAGCCTTTAAACCGAAATCATTCTGGGTTTCATTGAATGGCCAATAATAGGCACAGCCCCAGCCTCTGTGGCTCTTTGTTTAGGTTTTGATTGCTTAGAATGATTGAAAATAGCAATTGTGGAGGGTCTTCCCCTCCTAGACTGATATCTTTGGGATTTCAAATTGGGTTATCTTATTCTAGCCTAGCCCTTATTCATTAATTGGGCATGATCTCAGACAAACTGAGACCTGGGAAGACTTTAGTTTAGAAAGGCCAAGGTGATTCACTGCATTCTTTTTCTTGCCACCAGACTCTGATGGCTCTGGAGGAGGGAAAGAGGCTTGTGACTTTGCACAGCTGCCTCACTTAAATCCAATTCATATGCAAGTCAAGACATCATACTTATGATCCTCTTCCAGAAAGGATGAAGAGCAACAACATAAATATCCATGTTTTCATGGTTACATAGTATTTCTATGACCTATAAATGATGAAAAATGATGTTCACATCTTATTTATTTTTGATTCAATTTTAACACATTTTTCTCTGTGTTCCACTTCTAAATTAAAGAAACAAGAAGAAAAGGAAAAAAAATCCTTATAACAAATATGTATACTCAAGTATGATGAATTCCTGCTTTGGCCAAGTTTTTTAAAAAAAAAGTATGTCTCGTTCTTCTTCTGCAAGTCCATAACCTCTTTGTCAGGAGATGGGTAGCAAGCTTCATCACTGGTCCTCTGGAGTCATGGTTGCTCACTATATTGATCATCAGAGTTCTCAAATCTTTCAAAATTGTTTGTCTTTGTAATTTGTAACTTAAAAAAAAAGTTCTGAGATAAATGCAAGACATATTAATTTCCCTTAAAAATAACATTTTAAAAAATTGAATGGATTATTTTTATTAGAATGCTTCCTATAGAGGTAATGTCCTTCAACATAATTTTTAACAAGGATGTGGCATTTTTTTCAATGTATATGATATTTTAGCCTATCAGGTGATAAGGAATGTGGTGGGAGGAAAATTAGGTCATTATAATATAAGCAGACATTGCCAGCATGTGTTTACAAGTATGGTAGAAAATCATTGCTCTCATCGAATTTTCTTCTACCTGCTGGGGCAAGAAATATGTGGCCTAAAGGAGGAGTAACTAAACTTGGTGATGGGATACTGACTGAGTCAGTGGATACCTATCCATTGGACCTGAAGTCAGGAAGACTTAAGTTCAAATCTGGTCTCAGAATGATGTTGAATTTTAAACAATACAAAACACTAAGACGGAGTGGAAGCAACATTAGACCTTAAGCAGGAAACCTGGGTTCTACTCCCACATCTAAAATTAATTATGTGACCTTGGAACAATCATTTAAAATTATCAGGACACAGAATCTTAGTGGACCTCACAGATTATCAAGTCCTACTTACAGCACAATTTGAATGTACTCTTTGATATCTTCAATAAATGGTCACTTAACCTCTTTTGAATATTTCTGTGATTTAGTCCTTAAAAGTAGATAATAGGACAACTAAACCACTTTAATAAAATCTTTCCTTATATTAAGCCTAAATCTACCTCTCTAACTTCCTACCCATTCATAGTTTATAGCCTTGTTCCCTAGATCTAAGCAAAACAGATTTCCTAAGCTGTTAGCACTCTCTATCCCACAAGTCATCTTTTCTTCAGTATAAATACCATCAGTTTCTTTAACTAATCCTTCTATCAGATGGCTTAGAATCCTATCATTATCCTGGTTACCTATTTATGGATACAATATAATTTGCCAATGAACTTTTGAAAAATGGCAATAAAAAAAGGGAGCACAGATGTGTTTTGACCAAGCCAGAGTATAGCAAGAATATTACTTCTCCCATTGTGGACACTGTGCTTCCATTAAAGTATTATCCTTCCTAGGGTTCAATTTCCTTTTCTATAAAATGGAGGGGCAGATTAGATTTGTTGATCTCTTGGGACCCTCCCAGCTCTAAAATTCTA